CGGACACAGGCTTATAAAAATATCTGGAAAAGGTTTTAAAATACTTCCTGCTACATAGGGCTCTATGAAGGATCAGGGATTCATCGTGTTCTTGTGAATGGTGCGGGTTGGTCTCCGAAGACGCCAGAGCCGTGGACAAGCGGTGCGCTCAGCCCGGTCGGTATACGTTTAGCCAGACATGTCGTGACCTCAACCCTTCAGCTGCCTTTCGGTGTCCTGGGGTCGGCGTGCTCGTGGGCTCGGTTTCAGATCTCCCTCTGGGCCCTGGTACGCGTGTCGCTTTTCAGGTGGGGCCAGGGCTCAGGGTCTCAGTTTTCCCATATGGGAAATGGGTGTGGTTCAGGAGAAGGTGTGGTAGAGGGAGGTGGGGAGAGAGGAATAAAGCAAATGGGGCAAAATAGAAAGAATCCATGACTTCGGGAGAAGGTATATGGGAGTTCTTGCTCCTTTTGTAAGTTTAAAGTGATATCGAAACGAAATGAAATTATATCTAAATGGAAAATGAAAAAGTCCCCCCACCCAGGGTGGTGGTGGGTGGGGGTCAATGGATTCACTGAAAACTTTGTGGGTGAGGAGGGGCTGAGGGGGGTGGCTCCTGGTTCCCCGTCCTCTCTAGCCAAGCAGGTCGTTTTCACGTGCCTTATATTTCGGGGATCCATGCAGATTCTTCTGGGAGAAAAGGGTCCTCCAAAGAAAAAGCTGGAGGCTGGTGGAGGACAAAGGCAGGCCTGGGGGCGTGAAGAGTCTGAGTCAGGGATCTCGGAGAGCATCGGGTTTTGCTTTGTTTTTCAAATGTCCACCTGAAGATATGCTTATTGATTTTATTTTATTAAAAATGTTTTTTCTTTATTGGTTTCTAGAGAAAGAGAAAGGGAGAGGGAGAGAGAGAGAGAAGCAATGATGAGAGAGAACATCCATTGGCCGCCTCCTGCATGCCCCGTACTGGGGATCGGGCCCACAACCTGGGCATGTGCCCTGACAAGGAATCGAACTCACGACCTCTTGGTACATGGGTCAACGCTCAACCATTGAGCCACACTGGCTGGGCTTATTGATTTTAGTGTGAGAGAGGGAAGGAGGGAGAGAAGCAGGGAGGGGGGGTGAGAGAGACATTGCTTGTCTAAGGTAGATGCAACCCAGGTATGTGCCCTGACCAGGAATTGAACCCATAACCTTTTGGTATACAGGACGATGCTCCAACCAACTGAGCCACACCAGCCAGGGCGAGACCATGGGTTTTTCCAGCTGCGAAGGGCAAAGAAGCCAAGCCGCTGGTTGTGGACGGCTGTGGGGTGCGAGGCGATGGTGGGCAGGGAGAGGAACAGGGGGAGGAACAGGTGGTGAGTGTGAGTCTTACAACCAGCACCTGGTCCGCTGGGCTGCTCTGGGAACTTTGTGAGCAGTAACCACACCCTCTCTAGCCCCATGTTGCGGAGGAAACTGAAGCTCAGAGAGGCGGAGTCACTTTCTTAAGGTCACCCAGCCAGGGAATAGCAGAGCCAGGATGCCAATCTGAGGACCTAGGTCCAGTGTGTGACTTTACTTCCTCTATGTTTATAATGTAGTGAGAACAGAGACTTTGGTGGATGCTGCCGGGCGGGAGACAGGGGGAGGGGAGTTTCCAGAAATGACCCACAGAATTATGACAGGACCGTGTATTAAGCACTAGCTCCGAGCCCTGTGTCCATATACATCCCTCCCCTAGCATATGGCTGGTCAAGTGGTTTGGACCCTTGCCTGACCTTTCCTATCACTGGCCATGCAGTTCAGACCCCCTGACCATTCCTCTCTAAAGACAACGTCTCCGCCTCACTTGTATTTCAGCTCCAGGCCCAGAAAAGCAGCCATACCAGACCAGTGACGCAGTGCCTGTCCCAGGACCAGCCGCACCGACTAATGACCCCTGTCCTGGTGCAGAAAAATCCGCAGAGACCACGACCCTGAAAGAGCACAGGAAAGCTGAGGAATATGCTATTATAACCCCCCCTGAGATCTCCCCTAAGATTCCCACCTGCGAGAGAGAGAGAGAGAGAGAGAGAGAGAGAGAGAGAGGTAAATACCTTAACGCAAAGGACCCAGTGTGCGCTCTCCCCCAGGGGAGCACGCCCAAGCCATTACCTCCCCCTTCCTCCTGCTAAGAGACCCCAGGAGACTTGCAACCCGGGGAGCGATGGGCAGCGGCAGCTGGTCCAGGCTAACCCCTGAACCTGTCTCCAAGGCCCCTTTTCTCTGACGTCCCAGTGAGCCAAGCAGCCCCGCCTGGGCTCTCCTGCGGCTTCTATGCCCTTCCTTGTCTCACTGTCCGAAGTGGGTCTTTGCTGCGGCCAATGAATTCCTGCTGGCTTGGCTGCACTCTGTCTCTTGATTGAAATCTTTCCTTCCAGAAGACGAGACCACGGTTTCTTTGTCTCAACAGTAACATTTCCACAGGCTGGATCACCTGGCTCCCCTTCCAGGATCCCCCAAGTGTGCTTGATCTTCCAGGAAGGCTGCCTCCTCCTGCTGCCTCTCCCCTCCCCTCCCTCCCCTCCCTCCCCTCCCCCATGACCCTCTCCTCCCCTCCCTCCCCTCCCCATGACCCCTCTCCTCCCCTCCCTCCCCTCCCCCATCACCCCTTTCCTTTCCCTCCTCTCCCTCATCACCTCCCCCTCCTTCTCCTCTCCCTCCCCCTCCTTCACCTCTCACTCCTCTTCCCCTTCACTTGTCCTCCTCCCCACCCAGCACCCTGTGCCCACAGGCGATGAGGACACTGAGGCTGGGAGAGGCGAAGGACGCACCACATCCCGGGGCTCGCAGTGGCGGAGACGGTGAATCAATCACACCAGGTCTGCTGATCTCAAAGCCTCCCTCTGAACCCCTGTGCTGTGGGTTGACAAGGTAACTCGTTCTGGGCTCCAGAATGTATCCCTAAAGCAAGTGTCTGCGTCAGGGATTTTCAAACGTGAGCGAGCTCTGAGCTCCGGACCCCCAGCAGCTCGCTGACCTCCAGCTGACCGGGTGCCACCCCCAGAGGGCCCCATTCTCCATCCCTCCCTCCACCCCTTCCCTTCCCTCCACTCACTCACCTTCTCTTCCATTCCACACAAGTTGTTTTCTGCAGCTTTAGTTTTGGAGTCAGACCTGGGTTCAGTCAGACCTGTGGGCGTGATCTGAGCGCCCTTGGCTAAGCTACTTCCCCTCTGTGGCCACAGCACCCTCATCTGTAAAATGGGCACATTGACACCTCCCCTGGTGGTGTTGGGGGGTCACACGACTCATTCCATGGAAACCCCTTGGTCCGGGGCCGTGCACTCAGTAGGCGCCTGTTAGTTCTTTAGTTGGAGGCAGAGGGCTGGGCTCTCGTCCCACTGACCAGCTGTTTGCCTTGGGCCAATGACTTAACCTTTCTGTGCCCCAATTTCTTCACCGGCAGAGTGGGGACAGAAGTAATAACTGCTTCCTGGGGTTGCAGTGAGGACAAGTGCCTAGCACATCGCCTGGCTGTCGGCTCTTTTGATGATTCTACTGAGGATAGTGATGATAGTGTGATGACCCAGGGACTGAGCCAGGCATGGCGCTTCGTTGGGGACAGAGCAGGGGACACCATCCAATCCTTTCCCAAGGAGCTCCCGGTGTGAGGGGGAGACACCTTCGCAGCAGGGGCAATATCCCGTCAGCGCTGTGATTGAGGGGAAGCCCAAAGGGCCCAGGGGGCCAGAGCAGCTCCCAGGGGACAGGGAAGGCGTCCAGGGAGGTGCTCCCCAAGCTGAGACCTGATGAGGAAGCACAAGACCTTTTGAATAATAAATACGTTCATAAGAATTTTGTACTAAAAGATAATTGATCGAGTGTGTTTATTATAGTTAAAAAGTTGAAAATAACCTAATCAACCACCTAGGAAGTATTGATCAAATAAGCTATGGTGCACTGAGTCAATGAAATAATGAGCAGCTGTTCAAACAGGGTAAGAGATATAAACCTTATCATTGAATGAAAAAGCAGGTTACAACATGGTACATAGAGTATGACTGAGTCATCTCATGTTTATGTATAAAATATATACACGTGTGTGTTCATCCCAGAGTGTTCGCATTACTGATCTTGGAAGATGAGGGTTTAGGATGAAAACAGAATTTATATTTAAACAATACAGGGTCTGCACGCAGTTCCAGGTTTTGATACATTTTATCAGAAAGCTCTCCAGAAATGTTATGTCAGTGTATATTCCAATTAAGTATGTGATTGTTGCTTCTGTCTAACATTTAAGAGAATCAAACATACAACATTGTAATCTTTGTTCCTTTGATACTTTAAAAAAAAACCTCATTGCTGTTTTAATTTACAAAAAAAAGAGGAAGCAAGAAGTCATCAGGCCGCGAACAGGGGCAGGCAGGCAGGGCATCCAGGTGGAAGGAACAGCGTGTCGCCCTGGCCGGTTTGGCTCAGCGGTTGGAGCGTCGGCCTGCGGTACAGAGAGACCCGGGTTCGGTTCCCGCTAAGGGCACATACCTCGGTTGCAGTTTGTCCCCAGCCCTGGTTGGTCGTCCGGGTGGCAGCCACTCGATGTGTCCCTTCATGTTGATGTTTCTCTCCTCTCTCTCCCTCCCGCTCTATCTGAACAAAAAATGGAAAAATGTCCTCGGATGAGGATAAAAAAAAAAAAAAAAAAGGAACAGCGTGTGCGAAGGCCTGGGGTGACGAGGTGGCCCTGGCGGAGGCATATCCAGCACTGGAGCGCCTGGGGCCCTTGTCAGAAACACAGCGCTTCCCCCAGATGCATGTTCTCCGGGGCTGTGCTCAGACAGTGGGCACGGCTCCCAGCTGGGCTTGGCCGACAGAGGGGTGGGTGGGTTGTCCCCAGCAGGCCTTGCCACCCGCCACCACCCACCAGCCCAGTCCCTGTCTGGCAGAGACAGCCTGCCCTGGCAGCCCCCACTCCGTGCAGCTGGCCGCCCCCGCCCTCGTCCGGCTCAGTTTCCTGCCCCTCCCTCGCCTGCTCCCTCCAGCTGTTTCTCTGGCAGAGGCTGTCCATTCAGGACAGCAGCCCCTACGAGCAGGAGCTCAGCACAGACTGAGGGCTCCCCGGGAGCCTCTTAGGGATGAGGCTGTTCTAGGGTGGGGGTGGGGCTGCGCGGTGGGCTTCGAGGGGATTTTGAATGACTAGATGAACTGCTTTCTGGGAAAACAGCCACAGCCCAAGAACGGTGTGACTGGGAGAAAGGCGTCGGGAAACAAAGGTCTCCTGTACAGCCTCTCGTGGCCCGAAGTCCTGGGGCACCCTCAGGAAGACCTGGGCGGAAACCAGCCTCAAGGTACCATGCTTGGCTTTGGCACCACCCCGAGGGGCCAGGAAAGGGGAATCCTAGTCTAGGAGAGAAGTTCTTTGGTTCTTAAATTTTAATTTTTCTCAAAACGAGTATCATTCTATTATGATTTTCTGATTTTTAAAATAATGCATGCAACTTGTAAAAAATAGCAAGGTCACCAGGATTTTAAAAGCAGTGCGTTTAGGGGTTCCCTTTGTGACTCTGTTAATGCTCACGACAGCCACGGGGAGGTACTTTCACAGTCTTCATTCTACAGAGGGGGAAACTGAGGCTCAGAGAGGGGAGGGCACTGGCTCAGGGCTGCTGGGGGGTTGAGATTGGAATGAAGTGAGGGTCTTCACCCCTGGGCTGTACTAACTCTCAGGACAGAGATAAAAGAGGGGTCCTAACTCAGAGGTCGCCCTCTCTGTCACTCACTAACTGACGCATGAAGTTTGTGGGGTGCCGGCCATGTACCGACACATGGAAGCATGTCAATGTGAATACACACACCCACTGTCCCCCTCAGTTTTAAAGATTAAATTTATTGGGGTGACACTGGTCAGTAAGATTACCTAAATTTCAAGTGTACAGTTCTGTAATACATCACCTGTCTATTGTTCGTGTGTTTCCCACTCACTTTTCCAACATCCTGCCTCCTACTGCAGCTCCTTCCCCATCATCTGCGTGAGAGACATGGCTTGGGGTTTATTTAGGTATTTCTCGTCGTGATTGTTCCCCCTGCCCCATGATTATAAATAGTGCTGCAATGACCACTGTAGTTGGTCTTCTTGGTTTGCTTGTTCTATGGACACCTTTCCAGAGGCGAAATCACTGGGTCAAAGGTGTGCGTGTTTTTAAGGCTGTTGAGGTTTTTGGCCATTGGCCCTCCCCTGGCACTGTACTGGGTGCAATGTTCTCCTAGCTCTTAAAACTTCCCCCATGAGAAAGGGGAGGTAACCCCTGGCTGCCTCACTTGCCATTTCTTTCTTAATGCTGATTTGTTTTTATATTCTTATTGTTTACTTTTCTTTTATGATTATCCTGTTCAAGTCCGTTTCCATTTGTTTTTCCCTGTTGGCTTGTCTTTTTCTTATTGATACTTAGGAGTTCTTTGTATATGAAGGCTAGGAACCCTTTGCCAGTGTTCTCTGTTGAAAATATTCCACTCTCCTCTCTGTTTCCAGACTAGCACATTTTAAATGGGGAAGGCATAAAGACGAGGTTTTGGCCAAATTACAAGAAAACAACATGTAATAATTAAGGACAGTAGGCTCTCCGTATCGTGGGTTCCACATGTACAGATTCAACCAACTGTGGATCAAAAATCTTTGCCAAAGCCCTGGCCAGTTTGGCTCAGCATTTAGAGCGTTGGCCTGCGGACCAATGAGTTGCGGGTTCAATTCCGGTCAAGGGCACGTACCTCAGTTGTGGTTCATTCCCTGGCCCTGGTCGGGGTCATGCGAAGGCAACCATCAATTAATGTGTCTCTTTCACATCGAGGTCTCTCTCTGTCTCTCCCTTCTCCCTCTCTCCCTCCCTCCCTCCTACTCTGTCTGAAGATAAATGGAAAAGTAAACTCGGGTGAGGATTAAAAAAAAAAAACTTTACCAAAAAGAAAACCAAAGTTTGCCTTTACTGACAGGTGCCATGCAGTTACAATAGATGCATCTGCATATTCGCCTCATTATTCCCTAAACAATACAGAATAACAACGATTTGCTTGTCATTTACATTGTATTAGGTGTTATAAGTAATCTAGAGATGATTTCAAGTATATGTGAGGATGTGTACAGGTTATAAGCAAATACTACACCATTTTATATAAGAGGCTGTGGATTTCGGTATCCAGAGGGGTCGTGGAACCAGTCCCCGTGGATACGGATGAAGCCCTGGAACTGGCGTTGGCGGTGAGTCTGATCACTCAGACCAGCGTGGCTCAGAGAGGGTAGCAAGACAGCGGCCAGACCCCGGGTCTTCCTTATCCTTCCATCGAGGGCGTGAGCCCCAGTTTCCCTTTTGGAACCCCCTACTTCCTTTTCACGACCAATCTCCTTGCAGTTCTTGCTGCGCCCTCCAACTTGCTGAAAGGAAAAACTTCTCCAAATGCTCCTGTTGCTGAAATGAGTAGCGTCGGCTAATTCAGGTCTCTGCTGGTGAGAGGAGGGTGGCTTGGCATTTTCTTAACAAGGTTTGACTCACACCGGTGATGCTCAAACGGCGGGGTGTCCGACACTGAAGAGCCCATGGGAAGAGTTCTTTATCTCTTGGTACACAGGGACAGTCTCTGGATTTGACTTTGGGTAAGTACTCCTCTCTTTGGCGGAGTCCTTCTGAGAACTCCCCCTGCAGCTGGGCCAAGGCCTCTCTCTACTAGGTCCTCTCAATGCCTGCTCCCCATTCCCAATCCCCCCTTTCATCACAGTGCCTGTCATACTCTCTTGTGATTGCTGGTCCTGCTGTCTGTATCTCCTGCTGGCCTGGGGGCTCTTTGAGGCCAGAACAGGGTATTATTCTCTCTGTATCCTCAGTCCCGTGCACAAGACCCGGCATGTAGTAGGTGCTCAGTAAATGTTCATCGAATAAATAAGTAGCCAGGCCTCAGTTTCTCTATCTGTAAAATGGGATGAGGGAGTTAGACTAAAATCTCATCTCTTAGATGCTTACTTAATAACTCCTGTCAGTTTGGCAAACCATTATGTCACAATGATTTTCTTGAATCTTCTGCATGGCAATATGATAAGGGTACTATTAATATGTCTGTTTGACAGATTGGGAAACTGAGTCCTGGAGAGGGATTCTGATGCTAGGCCTCCATGAGAGGCAATAGAGCACTGTGGCTATGGGGTTGGGTTCTGTTGGGTGGGCTTGATCCTGGTCTGCCACCTGCCAACTTAGTGACATAGAACAAGTTATGCCTTATCTTAATGCTTCAGTTTCCTCATCTATAGAATGGGAATATGTAGTAACTACCTCCTAGGATTATTAAAAGATTAAATGAGATGATACATGAAGAGCATTTAGCAGAGGTCTTGTCATGTAGTAAGGGCTCTATAAACATTAGCTATTATTCCATTATCATTTCTGTACCACTGTGCTATCTATACCCATGATACCCATCTGGGCCAAGTAGAAATTATTATTAATTTCTTTACCAGTAGATTATTAACGCTCAGGTTCTTGCCAGTGTACAAGAAAACAAAAAACTGATTTCATTCTCTTTGAGCTATGCTGCACGGGTGCAGTTATCACTGCCAGTTTTGAGGCTATGAAGTAGACTCAGGACTTCTCAAAGTGGAATCCTGAAATTACTGACATTATGATCAATAATCATGAGTGGTTCTTAAAGCTTCAGTTTTCTGACTCAGAATATCTGAGGATGAGCAGTGGGAGTCTGCATTTTGAACCTGTCTCCTGGATGAGTCTGATGCACCCCAAAACTTAAGAACCATTGTGCTAGAGTACTTGAACGTCTTTTCTTTTTGCCTTTGCCCAGGTTTCTGGGTTCTTTGCTGCACACTGAGGTGTTTTTTTCCTTTATAAACAAATATCTGTGAACTTCTTGCAAGATATATCCTGTGTCAGCAGTTGAGGCCAGGAGGCATGATGGAGAAGAAGTGAAACTTTGTTGTGTTGTACCACAGAAAGTCAGATCCTGTTAGTAATCACTCAGTGTGCAGACTTGGAAAGTATTTTAAGCCACAGAATCCTTTCCTCCAATGAAAAGATATGGAGAAGTGCAATTCAAAAAATAGATAAAAGTCATATTATTCTAGTTGAAATAGAAATAGAAGTGGGGGGCTCTCATTGCTAAAGGACCTCTAAGAATTCTGATAGCTCTGCTGGGCAGGCTGAACATTGCCAATCTACTCCAAATTGCTAAGAGACCAAAGTTCTTGACCTTTGCTGAATATGCTCTGAGACCTTAGGCAAGGTACTCTCACTCTCTGGCCATAATCATTCATAAATAAGGAGACTGAGTGTTGTATTTGTCGGATAGTAGCTGTAGTAACAGATAGACCCAAACATGTATGATGGCTCAAACAGAACGGATGTTTATTATATGGCAGGTATCTCTGAATGGAGGGTGACCCATCTCCTGTCCCTGCCATCCCCTTGGACATCATCACTGATTAAAGAAAGCACGGGGGTGGCATGCTTGCTTCTAAACTGCCTTCCACCACCCACAAGAACTAATTATGTGACCTATCTAGTTGCAAACGGGGCTGGGAAATGAAGTTCTGAACCAGGGTGGCTTCTTCCCAGCTACAGCTGTGTACTGTAGAGGGGAAACTGGGTTTCGTGGACAGCTGGCTGTCTCTGCCACAAGTATGGTGGCTTCTTGGGTCTCTTCCGTTATTCGGTTCTAAGTCTAAATGTTCATCAGTCAATCTTCAAGTTAACATGGTGATGTTGGGCCCACAAACACTTCTCTCTCTGTAAGACAATCCCCATCAAACAGACCAAGTCAATTCCTACATTCCAGGCCCCTAAACACGGATTTCCCCGGAACTTAGACAACTGCCGTTCTCTTTCCCTTCTGGAAAAAAGAAACAAGAATAACTGAGCACAGCACATTTATTGAGCCAAAGGTTGGCATATCCATTATCTCACTTAATCCCCTCACAACCTTATAGAGAAAGGCTTCAGGATTCATCATTCCCATTTTAGAGATGAAGAAAATGAGGCTCAGAGAGGAAGAGGGATTTGCCCAAGGTCGCATAGCTCATAAGCGAAAGAACTGGGATTTGAACTCAGAAAATCCTACCCCCGCCCTAGGGTCTCATTGTGTGCGTGGGTGTGTGTAAATGTGTGTGTGCGCACGTGCGTGTGTATGCACGTGTGTGTGTGGTTAAGGTAGGCGTTCTCTTTGCGCTGGATTTTCCCAGCACTGGGCATAGGGGAAGTGAAAGTGCAGGAATCATTGTCTGAGTCCCTAGAATGGGCCACATCTAGATTATAAGGCGGCCGGGCGGTGGACCTTGTCTGAGGAAGCCCAGTGTGAGTACTATAGCCACTGGCCAGAAAAAAGGACAGATGCAGGGCATCAGGGGGTCCTGATGACACTGAGGTCTTGACCAAGCCAGGCACATAGTGGGTGCTTGGGATCTGTTTCCTGTGTGAATAAACCTGTGGAGGATGGAAGTTGCATTAATGTGAAAACTAGGATAAATCAGGCCCAGTCCTGTTCTTAAGGCCTTCAAGGGAGGGGGAGTAAACTTGTGACATATATTTTCATTCATTCACTCAAAGACACATTTGTTTGCACCCTCTGTGTGCCAAACATCCCACGAGGCAGAGTGATGAAAAAGACAGGATTATTTGCCCCCATTTTAGAGATAAAGAAAGTGAGGCCCTGATGGGGTAAGTGACATTCCCAAGGTCATTTGGTGGGACTAAGACCTGGGGCTCCTGGTTCCCAGTCTAAGACTCTTTCTATGCCTCTTGGATGATGGGGAAGCCCGAGGCTGGGCATGAGATGCAAGGAAGGAGGGTTGGCAGCCACTTTGTGCTGCTTCTGGACTCCAGGGCATGCTGGTTTCAGGCAAAATTAGGAAACTTAGTTTTACTTCTCGTTTGGAACCTCCCTATTTTTGCAGTGATGAGCACAGCATGGTAGAGAAAGAGGAGGATTTCTTGCCCTGCTGGATGGAACCGAGAGGCAGTAATTCTACAGGGTGCTGTCAGAGAAAGAGATATTAATGTCTGGTTGGCACCTATTGACCTCAGAACATGGTCATAGACTCCACAGCCAACACAGACTTCACATCCCAGCTCTGCCCTTTAACCTCCTGCGGCTTCTGTGTCCCCATCTGTACCTTGGGGACAGTCTCAGTGCCTACTTCACAGGGCCATTGTGGGATTAAATTACTTACCATACACAAAGCACTGAGTACGGCTCATGGTCAGCTCAATGAAAGCATTTCTATTTGGATTCTCAGGAAAGCAGGCGTTGAAATTCTTCTTTGCACATCTGGGCTGATGTGGGCATCTGGTGCCTTGTGAGTTTGGGTTCCTAGGCTAGAAAAGGTCATTTCGGCCAGTCTCCTGGCTTTACGCCACCCCCCATGGAGAAGTCCTGGGCGCCAGTGGTGGGTGTGTTCCACCCACCATAGACACACTCTGGTGACCTTGGAAGTAGCAGCAGCTGACTCAGCAGGGTGGTCGGCTGCTACCCAGGCAGAATGTTGGAATCGGTTCTGCTTTCTTGGGATATGTGACTTGGGAACTCCGATGCTAGCCCTGGGCTCGTGCTGAGGACAGTGCTTGTGCAAGAAGGTGGGTGACTGGGCGACCGGGGCAAGAATCGACAGCTAGCATACTCGTCGTTCCTTCTGGGATCATGGGTCAGAGACGGGACAGTGCCATGTAGCCAGGCAGACCTGGGTTCTAGCCCTGGGTTCGGCACTCACCGCCGGGGTGAGCTCAGGCAGGTCACATCACCTCTTTGAGCCTTCGTTTCCTCCTACAGTTGTTGAGAGACTGTCTGCACTGAGCAGTCAAGGGCCTCGGGTCAGGATTGAGGACGGGGGACATTCAAAATACTCCCATCCTTTGTCACCTGAATTGGTTCGAATGGTTCTCTGAACTTATGAATTTCCGGGTGTGAGATGAAGTAAGAGCTCAGAGAGCCAGTGCATGAGTGTCCTTTGGCTGCTGCGGCAGTCACCACAGATTCCGGGGCTCAGAGTGACACCCATTTATTATCTTAATGTTCTGGGGAGCAGAAGACCAAGTGATTTGGACGTGGGATGAAATCAAGGTGTCAGCAGGGTGGTACTCCTTCTAGAGGCCCTAGGGGCGAGTCCGTTCCCTTGCCATTTTCAGTTTCTAGGGGCTGCTCACATTGGTTAGCTGATGCTCCCTGTTCCCATCTTCAAAGCCAGCAGCAGCAGGTTGAGGCTTCTCACACTGAATCACTGACTCTCCTGCCTCCCTGTTTTGTTTATAAGGACCTGCGTAATGACACTGGGCCCACCTGGATGATCAGGGTGACTCTCCCCATTGCAAAATCCTTAACTTCATCACATCTGCAGAGTCCCTTTTGTCATGTCAGGTAACATATTCTCAGGTTCCGGGGTTAGGACAAGGGTATCTTGGGGGCGGGTATTATTCTTCCCTGAAGAGCAAGGCACATCTCAAACCCTGATCTGCTGATCTGTCCTGACCTTGGCCACGAGAGTTCAGCTGGCCGGTCTTGCAGGTGCAGTGGGCTCAGCAGGGCACCAGCCAATCAGAACAGACATGGTTGCAAACAGCCAGTGAGTCTGTCCCGGGGCACTGGGGTGATTGTCAAGCCTGA